TCCCCAGCCCTCAGCCTCCCCCCCCCACCCCATTAAACCCAGCTGGTGGCCTGGGCACAGCTCGGGGCTGAGGCTCGCCAGCCTCCTCCCTGCCCCAGGGCAGCCTCGGTCCAGCAGGATTTGTGCCCAGGCCCCCGTGATGTCTCCCTCCCCTTTCGGAGGCTGCTTTCACCCCCATCCAGAGGGATGGGTGCCCTGCAGCACGCGGGGAAACTGAGGCACGGCAAGGGGGCAGAACCCGTTGTGCCGGCCAAGCCTGGTCCCAGTGAATAACCTGGAGCTGGCTGTCCTTGCTGGCTGATCTGTCCCAGCCCGCTTTGCCCCCAGGTTAAACCTCACCAGAGCACACGAGGGGAAACTGAGGCAGCAGAGCGGGGGCCAGCCAGGCCCTGGGGCACCCTGGTGCCATCACAGCCCTGGGACCAGAGCCAGCTCAGCCCCCGCCTCAAGGCCACGGAGGGAAACTTCCCACTGCTTGGCAGTACAGACCTGCCAATCAAAGCAATGGTGCTAATTAGCATTTGGCAATGCTCCCATCCTTGTTAATTAGTGATAACAAGGATTTATCTCAAGGCCAGATCCAGCAGAGCAGGGAGGCAGCCATGCTCTCTGCTCCTAGCCAGGCAGGAACCTCGTGCTGGGCGCATGGCTGATGCACTGGAGCCTGTGCTCCCTCCTGGTGCTGGGGAGACCCTGGCAGGGGACCGGGTGCCTGTGTTAAAATGCTCAACTTTATTTAAAATAGCATCTGGGGAGGGAAGACACTAGCGGGGCAGAGGAAGGGGGACTGCATATAAAAATAAATTGGATGCTTCAGAGCCACAGCAGCATTCGCAGCAAGGATGGGCCCTGTGCACTCACTCGGTCCTGCCCCGGCTTTTTCAGTGAGCAGCAATGTAGACCTTGGGGCAGCACTGTCCCCATGACCAGGACCACAGAGTCATCAGCCACAATGGCAGCGGCCTAGGGCCTTATTGCACAGCAGCAAATGCACACACATGTCCCAGCACCCAAAAACAGTTGGTTGAAGCATGCCACCCTCCCCTCCAGCAGGGCTCTGAGAATGGTATGGAGATGGAGAGATGGATAAGGCAGCGGTTCCTGGGGTTGCTGACCCTGCTGTCCTGCTGCTTTTCAAGTGGCAGCTGAACAACCACCTTCCTTCATGGTGTTACTTTTAAAAGAGTTTTTACAGCCAGAAGAAGGGGCTGCATCCTCAGCCGGTTCATCTCCCAACTCCGCGCTGCAGTGCCTGCTGGCCAAGATGGAGGCATCTCCTCTCTGGGGCCTAGAGCGATGATGAGAGGCCATTTTTTCAGATTCAAGCTCAGGAGGAGCTAGTTCAGAGCTTGGCCAGTGCCAGGGAGGGAGGCAGCAGCCGGGGTGGCACGGGCAGCTGCTAGCAGGAGCTGGTCTGGAGGTTGGCCTCCGTCAGCAGCGAGGCAATGGAGGACGGCCCATAGGCGCTGTCGAACTCGTCGTCTGAGCTGAGCTGGTCGTCCTGCAGGGAGGAGTCAGTGGCCGAGCGGGTGGCCTTGCGCCTGGAGGGCCAAAAAAGAGGGGTCAGTCCTCAGCCACCTTGCAGCCAGGAAACGCCAGCCCTGGGAAGTGGCTCAGACCTGCCCCAAGCCCAGACAGTGCTGGTCGGACACCATCTGTCCATCCCCCAGTGCCGTCCCAGGCCGTGGGGGGAGGTGGGACAGCTGCAAGCCAAGTGGACCCAGGGCCACCCTGCAGCTCCATACCAGGCCTCCTTCTCTAGCGCCTTGATACGGTTCTGGAGCTGCTCGTTGAGCTCGTGCTGCTCCTCCAGGTCCCGCTGCGCCTTCTTGCGGGCGCCCTCCAGGCGCTCGATCTCCTCCTCAGCCTCATCCACCTGCCGCTTGAGGGCCTTCACTCGGAGGCTCAGCTGTGGAGAGAAGGCACAGGGCCAGGTGCCACGTAAGGGACCCGTGGCACCAGGGACTGCCACAGGGCAAGCACCAGCCTGCGAGTTGGGGCTGGTGGCCAAGAAGCCATCACAGACCCAATCTGTCCAGCACTGGCTGGATGGGACCGAAGGCAGAGCCAGGCACAGTGCAGTATGCACATGTGCCCTGGTACGTTGCACGTGCATGTGCACGTGCGTTGGCCTGTATTATCTGCAGTGGTGGCCACCCACTTGGTCCTTCTGGTCGTTCACATGCTGCCGCTCATCATCGATCTGGATCGTCAGCTCTTTCACCTTCCTCTCCAGCTTGCTGTTTAAGGACAGCAAGGCAACATGTGGGTCAGGGCAAGCTAAGCTGGTGCCTGGCCCTTGCACCTGGTGAGGGCAAAGGAACTCAGCCCCCCTGGCCCCAGTCCAGTGCAGTCCGGGGGGTTTCTGTCTCGCGTACCTCTCCTCTGCCTGCAGCTTGTCCTGCAGCTCCTCAACCCTCGACTCAAGCTGCGAGACGCTGCTGTTGGGTTTCTGCAGGCCCTCAGAGCTGGCCAAGCGGCTCTTCAGCTCCTTGTTCTGGTAAGAGAAATTAAAGCCAATTAGTTGCCCTCAGCCAGCATCCCTCTGTGCTCCGCTCCCATCCCAACGCGGTGGCTGGCAGCCAGGTGAGGAAGGCAGGGTACAAAGCACCTCTTATGTAAATCCCCGAGGTGAGTCAAGCCGCGAGAAAACCCTTTCCCAATAAGGAGACATAACGAGCTGGGTTATATAACGGCAATTAGCCTTGCTGGCACCAGCCAAGGGTGCGACCCAAGACTAGAGGAGATGGCAGATGTGCGGGGGACCACGAGGTGTTACCACGGCAAACACCCAGCTTCAAATGCCCCCAGATGCATGGGCTTAGCCTATGGTTCTCTCTTAAATGCCTCCTTCAGCCAAAAAAAACAGTGAAAGAGATCCTAAAAGTCACTCCAGCCCCAAAGGCACTACAGAAGCCAGCTCCTCTCCCTGTCCTGCACAACATGTCCAGCAGACCCCAGCATCCAACCAGCCTTGTTAACCAGATGGCAGTAACGACCGTGGCTGCCAAAGGGCTGGGTAGCGCCTCTGCCTCCCGCTTTGCAGCGTCAGCGGTACAAAGCCATATTTTTTTTTGGCAGCGGCAATTACACACCGGGAACAAGAACAGCTCGAGGAGCTTATTTCTCATTGATCCCTTTTGTTCAGAGCCAGCTCAGGGTTAGGTAACGAGCGATTCGGAGCACAAGCCCGGGCAGGCTGGGAGAGAGGCACTCACCACAGCCTGGGGCGTGAGGAAAGAGGGGATCCGGCAGGAAATTCACCCCAGGGAGAGCCTCTGAGGCCACAGGGCCGGCGCCTTTTGGTGCTGGAGCCAGCCAGAGGGTTGGAGCACTGCCCTGAAGCATCCCTGCCTTGGGCAGCCTCTGGAGCTGGACTGGCCCCACAGGACAGACACCCTGTGCCAGTGCTGCCAACCACCCCATCAAATGGGGTGCTCTGGGGATCAGGCACCGATGGGGAAATGCCTTGGCCCAGTAAGGCCCTGGGATACTGGGAAGGAGGAAAGTTCCCTCAGGAGCCTGACCGTAGCAGTTACGAGACAAGCAGCTCCCCGTGTCTCCGCTGACCCAAGAGGCTCTGGTAGGAGCCCTTTGGAGCATCACATGGTGACAGCTCCAGGGATGCTCTGGCCAGGGATGGGGCATGCACAGGATGGAGAAGACGCAGTGTCCAGAGTGGAGTGAAGAATGAGGAACGCTCATTTTGCTGCCAACACAGGAAAACCCCCTCGCAAACATGGCATCTCTCCGAGGGATGTTCTAGAGCCGGCCAGGCTGGACCAAGATGACTGGCCCTGCATCCTGGTGCACCGCTCGTGGGAAGCCAAGGCAGCCGGATGATGGGCCCTGCTGCAGTCACGACCCGACCCCTTCACTCAGCCTTACCTGCCTCTCCAGTGAGATCTTGTCACACTCTAGGTCCTGGCGGCTGGAGCGTTCCTGCAGCAGCTCTGCCCGGAGCTGGTCAATCTGGGGAGAGAGACAGGAGAGCTTGGTTTCACCTTGTCCTTCCCCACCTTGTTCATTCGCTAGCAAGAGATCAGTGCCATTGTGGATGCTCACAGCCAAGATGGAGCCCCGGCTCCACGTTTCACCCATGGTCGCCTATGCAGCTGGTTTGGCTTACTGCAGCAGGTACCACACTGTAAACCTTGTGTGGGGCACACAGGGTGAAGGTAGCTCTTGCAAACCTATGGGATGCAGCACAGTTGGTGGTTTCCAGCTCTTTTCCCTTCCCTGGGGCTTTCTGCAAAACTGATCCGGTGCTTAACCCACCTGCCAGAGCCAAGAGCTGCCCAGACACTGGGCAGCGATTCCCATTCAGTGAGGCATGGCCCCATCATATCTTGGCAGAGCCTAAACATGGCAAATCACGCTGGGACAGCAGCCCCAGCCTAGCACTGTATCGCATGCTGAGCACGGCCAGGCTCAGCATGCTGCTTACTCGGGACTGTAGGACGCCCCCCCAGCTCAGCTGGCAGTGAGGACCTGTGCGTGCTCCCTGCTCTGGGCCAGCACAAAGTCTGCCCTCAGCTTAGGCATTGATGAGGGTCATTTGTGCTAACCCCCAGCACAGCCAAAAGCCCAACATTAATAACCCAGGCAGTCCTCCGAGACAGCTGGCTATCCCGGCACATCCTGCACCCCTCGGTCGCTGCCAGTGGGAACCCCAGCAAGGGGAGTTTGGTTCCTTCCCAAACTGCTTAGCCTCTTTCTTGCAGGCATTGACACCTTCCCTCCTCCAGGCATGGACTCACTTCCTCCCCCTGTCTTGCACTGCCCAGAGATGAGAGCTACAATTTCCAATTGGAGGGTTCAACTGGTCAGACTGGGATTTGGGGACCTGGCTGTGCTCTCGGCTCTGCCCAGTGCCTCCGGGCACCATGGCTCGGCTGTACCTAGGGCAAACATGGATTTGATCCAATGATGAGCCAAAAGCAGAACGCCCCCAAGGGCCTACTTCAAGTTCACCCAGGCTCAACACGCAGTTTTGTGTACCATTGTAAAACTGGGGGGGAAGAAATGTGGTTTCCTACACAGAATTGCCCAAATTATATGTAAGCAGTCCAAAAACAAGAGCTCACATAGTGATGTTTTTGAGTGGAACCGAACTCCGGTTTTGCAAGCACCTCTGCTCTGCAGCACCCACATTTCAGGTGAATCAAATATTGCTGTCAAAAGTAGTGTCTGGGATTACCGCCAGGACATGCCTCAGTTTCCCACATGGGAAAAAAATCACCCATTTTAGCAGCTAGTCAGACCCACCAGGGCCAGACTCTGATGCCCTTCCCATGGGGGTACCCTGAGGGGCCCCAGGCTGGATCTCAGCAGGGCAGGAACAAGATAGGGTAAGAGCGGGACATCGCTGCCCTCTCCTGCTGGTGAGCCAAGAGGCTGTTTTCCCCGAAACGCAGCAGTAATACCACCCGCTCCCCATGCGGCACTCAGGATCCAGGCGAAACCCAGCACGGCCAGTGCCTGGAGGCTCAGCAGGCAGCTCACACCCGCTTGCAGAGCTCAAACACCAGCTCTGGCTTTGAAGGTAATAAGCAGTTCGGTTAATAGAGAGGTTAGAGCCAGGAGACCAGTGTAATTTAAGCCCAAACTTCCTGCATAAGTTACAAACCTCACCCTATAATTTCAGGTGATTTTTTTTTTTTTTTGTGCACCAAGCTCGTATAATTTCCGTTTGCACCCAGACCAGCTTTTCAGATACCGTCATCTCAGTTGCATTTAGAGACTAGAAGCTATGGAGGGCTCAGGGCTGCTCAGTAATGACTCATTAATTGAGCTTTAACACTGGTAACTGGCTGTACCTAAAAAAGCAAGTTATCAAATGCTATTTTGCACCTCTCCAAGGCAGTTAGAGGTGCTGGGCTGTGGCTGGGGGTGGTTTTACTGTGGCACAACCCCAGTTTTTCCCCCAGTGCGGCACTGGCCCTGCTAAAGAGCAGCAGACACAGAGGGGAGCATTTCGAGGAGCCGGAGTGGCCGGCATCTTTTCCCCTGCTGCGAGCAAAGGTGCTCGCCCCACTGGTGCAGGACACCATCGGGGCTGATGGGAGGCAGCCTGCGGGAGGCTGGGCTACGAGTAGCTCATGAAACTGGGCAGGAGAAATACTGCAATCCTCATGGCAGCCGCTGTGAGCTGAGTCTGTGAGGTGTCAGGGCATGGCTAGGCTCCTAAGCAGCTTAGTTTCAGGAAAACAAAGTGAAATACAAAAACACCAGCCCTCACCCCAATCTCCACTTTTCGGGGTGGTGAGGGAATAAATGGACCATTTTCACAGTGCAGCAGGATTGTGGGAACAGCGTTGTTTTTTTTGTTTGTTTGGTTGGGTTTTTTTTTGCTTTTTTTGTTTTTGTTTGTTTGTTTGTTTTTGAAACACAGCACCACCACGGCAGACATCCAGAAAGAGCAGCTGCGAGGACCAGAGGGGTAGAAAGCCACACTCCACCAGTTACAGCCCTGGCAGGGGTCAGATGTCCCCCAACTCCGTCCCTCAGTTTCCCCAGCTCTCAGAGAGGATTTAGGGGCAGACCATTGCTTTGCAAGGCTATGAGACCAGCACTGGGCACAAAGCGGTCTCCAGCAGGGGTTTAGGGCCTGCCCTACCTGGTCTCTGCTGCGGTTTACCCGCTCTGTCAGTAGCTCCACTGTGGTCCTCTCCTCGTCCAGCTCCACCTCCAGGCGCTTGGACTTTTCCTGCGAGCAGACAGGCCCAGGACAGGTCAGCGCAAGCCTCGTGGTTACCCGTGGGCAAGGGGACAACGTGCTGGAGGGGGCTGGGCTGGCCAGGTACAGTGAGTGCTGCCTGTGAATAACACTGAGATACTGGAAGTAACAGTTTTGCACAAAGGGGCTGTTCAGCAGCCTCTGTTCCCAGCACCCTAAACTAGCCCAATTTTATATTCATAAATAGGAATATTAACAATAATACACACCTCTCAGTGCTGCCGCCCTGTGTCACATCTTTAGCAGCAGACCCCGGTTGGGCTTAGAGGGAGATTGCTGGGTGTGCTCTGCCCCTTGCTGTTAGCGCACAGCACTGCAGGTGCCAGGCTGAGTCGATGGCACAGTCACGGTGGGTACTGCGGCAGGTGTTGCACCAGGCGAAGGCTCTCGTCCACCCAGCTGGCCCCTCTCCCTCCCCAAGGGTCTCTTGTTGGCTTGTGCAAACCCGCTGCTTTTTTAGGGTACCACACTACGAACCTCCAGCATCTTGACCTGCCGCGAGCGGTCGTCCTGGGAGCGCTTCTTGGCGTCCACCTCCTGCTCGAGGTTGTGCAGGCGTTGGACCAGCACCTCCTTGTCCAGGAGTGCGCTCTCCCGCTCCGCCTGGCTGTCCTGCAGCGCTTGCTTCAGCCGGGCAACCTGGCGCATAGAGGGAAAGGGTGCCATGCTGTACATGGGGCTACAGGCTCCCTGGCCCTGTCTCTGAGCCACGGAGGGACAGAGAGGGAGGAAAGTTACCCCACAACCTGCCAGCCCCTTGATGGCCCTTGTGAGCGCCACACAGTACCTCATCCTGCAGCCGACCCATGCTGAACTGCATCTTCTCCACCTCAGCGCCCCGGTCCTTGGCCTGTTTCTGGGAGTCCGTGATCTCCTTTCGCGACTTCTCCTTGAACTCCTCCAGCTGTGACTTCAGCGTAGCTAGCGAGCTGTGTGACTCCTCTGTCATCTGCTCCAGCTAGGGTAGAGCAGGGAGAGCTCAGGAGCCCAGGACCAGCCCACATGCCCCGCCCTGAGCCACTGGGACCCAAGGCAGGAAAAGATGCCTGTGGGCATCGCGTTAAGGGGAATATTTCTGCCCCGTGTGTTCAGAAGCATCATGGCAAGGGGCATAAGCCCTGCCAGCACAGCCTGGATGATCCCCCTCTTCCTTTGAGCAAGCACTGGTGCCAGCTGGATGATGGCATTGGGTTTTTGCAAGATCCTGAGCCTCTAGGGGAGCAGAATTTGCCCTGCAGCTGCAGGACAACAGGTCCCTGGGATATCAGGTGATGCTGCCTGCAAAGGTTCCTGGGGACAAGGTGGTTTCATGGAGTTTGAGTGCAAAGAGAGAGCTCCCACGATATTGGGGAAGGATCTGTCCCAGCCGGCTCTGTAGGGA